CACGTCAGCCCTAGTGTAGCCCCCTCCCACCTCTGAGTGAGGAGAGGAGGGCAGCTGAGGGTCCCCCCCACCAACCTCAAATCCCCACCCACACCAGGGGATGCTGCTTTTTGACGAGACACACAGAAACCATAACCACCTAAATAAACGTCCTCTTTATTTTACCAAATATAATTTATCCGTTAAGTTGACATTTGTCAATTCAGTTATAGTAACTATAAATAATTCTTTTAAGACACAGTTCTGTAACTTTTTTAAGGATACAAGAGTAAACCAGTTTCACTCCTTGCAGCCAGGCCAAAAGTACATGCTGCTTGTGCTATGGGGGGTACACGTTCCATGACAGCCTTCCCCCTCAACCCGGAGTCCCTTCTGTGCACACTCAGGGCCTGGCACACGCCTACCTTCCTACTGTCTTGAGGCGGAAGAGGATGCTCGGAGCCCTCTGGGACAGCTGGGCCCAAACTCCAAAGATGTGGGAGGGGCTGAGCGACTGGGACAGGAGGCATTGGTTTGGGTGCCTGTACAAGAGGAGTCTGTGTGCAAGTATGCTTTGAGGTTCAGGACAGGAAAGGTGGCCTGAGGGTAGAGCAGAAACAAGCCCAGGCCGGTGTTAATGGACTCGGCAGGACCCAACTCCAACTAGGTAACTTACTCCAAGATCCCTCCCAGCTGTACAGGGCTAGGGCTCCACCAGGTGGCCTGGGAGAGGTGGCCAGGCAAGTCCCTGGGAGAAGGCATGGTATTGACAGGAGGCAGGCACATTGCCCAAGCCTGCCCTGGGAGGCGGGGCCTTCGGGCTACAGAGGGGAGGCTTCTAACAGAAAGGCTAGCACATGCCTGCATCCAAATGCCCAGCTCTGTCCATGTGTGGGTGTGGGCAGACTTCCAGTCTGTTCAGGACATACGGGGGAGGCGGCAGACATTCCAGTTTTCTACTTCTCCTGGCTGAGAACAGTGGACACAGCTGGCTGGTGGGCCAGGCTCTACTACCTCTGAATCCTTTTGGGGGCGATTGGTGAGGAGACGTGGAGGGAAGGGAAGGGAGGGGGTGCAGGGGCCCTAGCCATGGTTACACTGCACAGAGGTGGGAACTAGGAAGAGGCGGAGTCTGGCTTGTTGACAGAGTCACAAATACAACATGGTCGGAAGGGGCTGTCGTTGAAACCGGGGGGTGGGGGGGGTAAGATGAAGCTAGGGCTGTGTCCCATATGACCACTGGCTAGTCAGTGCCTGGCACAGTACCTCACGCAGAGCAGGCACTCAGTAAATATTGCTCAGTGAATGCCTCCAACCATGTCTTCCCCAGTGGAGGAGCTGCGTGTTTGTGGAGGGGATGGATGAAAGGTCTTGGTGGGCAGAAGGTGAGGAGGAGGAACAGTGGCCTCCAGGACATGTTGGAATGAGTGGTTTTGAGACAGTCCTCCGTGACCACACGAGTATGCCCGTAGGAGAAACAGCAGCAAGTGATCACCCCTGTCCGCCCTCGACCTCCCAGTGACACTCCACAGCTCCACATTGTTTCGGAACTCAACGTGCGAGCTCCGGAGGAAGGTAGTGCTGAGAAGCACTTACAGATGAAGGCTGAAGGGGGACAAAGAGGCAGTGCTCGGGGCCCAGGGAGAATGTGGGTCCGGGCAAGTCTATGGGTGGACACCGGTCCTTTGGGAAACCCAGACCACTGCTCACTTCCTAGGGGATGTGGCAATCCACTGGACAAAGATTAGAGGAAGGTTGGTAGTGTGCATCAGGCAGCTGGGTGAGATGCGTGCCCACAATCACTCCTAGCATAGAAAACCACAACTCGCTGCCATTGAGTCGATGCCAACTCATAGTGACCCTATAAGGCAGGGTAGAACTGCCCCGTGGGTTTCTGAGACTGTCACTCTTTATGGGAATACAGTTTCACCTTTCTCCTACAGAGCGGCTGGTGGTTGTGAACTGCTAACCTTGCAGAGAGCAGCCCAACATGTAACCCACTAAGTCACCAGGGCTCTTTCTTTCTGAGCTCAGGAGGGTCTAAGTCCCCAGGACAGAGAACAGGGCAAGGATGATAGGTGGCCAGAAGCAGCTGTCCCCTGCCCACACCTTGAGGTTGGTCCACTTCTTGAAGCATATGTGCTTGTTTGGGGGTAGTGGATATTTATCCCTCTTGTTCAACCAAAAAAAAAAATAATAATAATAAAGAAGAAACAAAACCCACAGCCCCACTCCCAGAGGGCTTCTCATTAGGGCCAAGACTGAAGCTGCTAAAGCTGAACCCAGTGTCCCCAGATCCCAGACGAAGCATCCTTGCCCGCACCACCTGGAGGTACCCACCATGAAATTGCACTTGGTGATTGTCTCAAACATCTACTTGCACTGCCTAGCTCGGTCCGTGTGTCCTTCCTGAATTCTTGCTATACAAACTTGGCTCAATGTATAAAAATTCCCATTGAAAATAATGAGAATTCGGTATCAAAGTGGAGTCCTAGAAAGAGGTGGGAGTGTGGAGGTGGGGGCGGGGAGTAGGGGATGAGGGGGTTCAAAGAACAATTTCAAATAGAAAGTGCACAGGGGCGGGGAGAACGTGGAGAGACCAGACTAGTCCCCGACATCCGTGTCTCGGTCCCCAATGAGCCAGAGGATATGGAAGCTGAGTGCTAGGAGCCCAGTGCCCAGCAGGTCCCCCAGGGCTGTCAAGTACGGGATGGAGAAGTTGTCTGGGTCCAGGCCCCGGCCCCACATCCAGTGCACCATCCAGTCTGCGATGTAGAGGAGAATCAGCACCTGGGGAGACAGAAGGGCCAGCCTGGAGCCATCCCCTCTCCAGGGAGAGCCAGAGGCCACGGGACCCCATGCAGCCGCTGCCTCACAAGGTTGGGCGTGCTACAGTCTTGAGCCTGGGACCCAGCTCACCTTTTCACCCAAGCTGATGATAGGCCAGATGGGAGTCCTTTGGGAAGGAAGATACTGCTGCTACCAGGAGCACCCACACCAGCACGACATTTTGCCTCTCAATTGACCCAAACCAACGCCCCCGCTGTAGAGTCGATTCCGACTGCTGGCGGCCCGTGTGTTCCAGAGCAGGCGTGCTTCACCAGGGGTTCTTGGCCGTCGTCTTCAGGGGCTCCCTAACCTAAATCCTACTGGTCACAAGCCCTCAGCCTCTAACTTGGGGTCATGCCGATTTCGGGTCACTCCAACTCCTGTCCTGTTGGCCTCTCCAGGAGCCTGGCTGGGGGTGGGGGTGGTCTGAAGTCAGCTCCCCACACAGGGATTTCTTCCCTGAGCTGACTGGAACAAGAAGAGTGTTTGACGTGGGTGACGGCACTGCTGTCCCAGAAAGCTTATTGTCCCCACTGGCTTCCTCCTGGTCCTCTCTGCTCCGCTGGTGGAGGGTCAACGAACGCAAGCTCATGGGGTGAGGCTTTCTGCACCCGTAAAGACTGACAGCCTGGGAAACCCACAGGGGCAGTTCCGTCCTGTCTTATAGGGTTGCTATGAGTCAGAACCGACTTGATAGTAGTGAGAGGTTTTTTTCTCTGCAGCTTAACATTAAAATAAAAAAATAAAAAACCACCACCACCTATCCCATTGCCATTGGGTTGATTCTGACTCACTGGAACCCTACTGGACAGGACGGAGTAGGACAGCCCCATGGGGTTCCCAGGTGGAGTCTTTACAGAAGTAGAAGGCTGCATCTTCCTCCCCGGAGTAGCTGGCAGGTCCAATCATTCACCTCACCTCTGGGTTGGCAGCCCAGGGAGCAGTGAACCACCCCGCCCCTACGGCTGCTTGTTTTAACATCAGGTCTCCAGAAACAACATCGCAAACAGGTCAGCCACGGTCAAGCAGGTAAGGCACACCCCCTGCAAGTGTTTTTGGGGCTTCTCTGTTGCTCTGATTGCTCGGTGCCTTGCCTTCCCTTCCCTTCCACGATGACGACAGGCCATTCAGAATGACCGAGATGAGAGCCTTGCTCGGTTAGCGGTCTGCCTGAGAGCCGGAGCACCAGCCACAAGCTGGGTGCTTGGGAGATACGCAGACTCCCAGCCCCCAGCTCTGGATCCACAGAACCAGAATCCACGTCTCAGCAAGAAGCACGTGTACTTTTTGGGTGGAGGCACGCACGCATGGCCGTGAGCTCTGTGGCAGAGCAGGCCGGCGCCCGGCAGGCTCCATACAGTGTCTCTCTCTCACAGCGGGCTCCTTCCGATCGCCTCCACGTGAGGCGACACGGCTCCTGATGGCGACACCCCAGCAGTTGTCTGAGCAGCTTTATTCTCGGCTGGACTTTGCAAATTCTGTGGTACACAAATTCTGTCCGGAGGGCCCCCGAGGCAGGAACGAGCCCCCATGGGACCCAGAAGACAGAAGTGATATGTATTTTTAGGCCAGCTTGGCTGCTCCTGCATGCCTCTGAGGAAACCAGAGGCTTTGCTTCCAACACCCGTTCGCACCCCCCCTGGCCCTGCACAAAGCCGCCTTGTGCTCCTGTGGCCTCGGGCCAGCCTCCATAACTTCACACCCTTTCCAGCAGCTGCGCACAGGCCCAAATAAAGAGTGTGGTCAGGAGGCCTTTGGGACGTGCCCCGGGAAGCCAAGGACACCAACTGCTCCACATTCCGGCCCCCGGAACCGGCCTGGCGGAGGGGCAGCAAAGGGATCAGGGAGGACCTTCACAGGGGATCAAGTGGCAAGCCCCGGCCCTTCACAGCCCATTGCAGAGGGCACAGGGCAGTGACTCCCCCGGGGTGTTCATATGAGGGAGACAAGGCTTTTCCTTCCCAACCTAGGCCCAGGGATAGGCCAAGAGCCTCCAGCCACCACACCCCACTCCAGACTCCTCTTCTCCATCCCTGTGTGACACCAGGTGCCCCCCCAGCGCCCCCACTTGCGAGGGAATCACTGCAGGCACCCAGCACCGGGCTGAGGCTGATTCTCAGTCCAACCCTTCTGAAGACGGCCAGCCACATCACTTTTCCATAACTGGTGCTATCGGTGCTAGTGCTTCTCAAAGGGGACTGTTTAAATACATGATAACATAGAGAATGCCTGAAACTTAAGAGTGCACGTCTTGAGAACCACACAGACACACACACACACACACACACACACACACACACACACGCACACTTAGAAAATGGTGCATGCACACCTAGAGAAATCTGAAAGAGCTTTGTGGATTGTTCCGATGCCAGTATAATCTAAGGGTCACGTAACCTTGTGCTATAGCTATATAAGATGCTACCAGTGTGGGGGAACTGGAGGGGAAATATATGGGATCCTCCCACAGCCTTCTGTGAATCTGAAATTGTCTTGCAACAAAAAGTTTAAGGTGTAATCCTACAAGGGAGAATGTACCGTAGGATTAGAAATGGCACAACTACCCAGGATCGGGAGATTCCCTGTGCCGTAGTTTTAACATTTCTTCCCAAGATATGGAATGCTTTATTCACATAAAGTTCCCCAAGGAAATTCACTCACTCACTCATAGCATCGAGTCAATGCTGACTCATAGTGACCCTATAGGACAGCGTCGAACTGCCCCGGTGGGTTTCTAAGACCGTAACTCTTTAGGGGAGCAGAAAGTCCTGTCTCTCTCCTGAAGGAAGCCCGGCAATGGACACCGCAGCCCAGTGAGCTCTGTGGCCAGCTCAGGTGATACCCAGAGCTGCCTGTTCAAAACGCCAACAGAAGCGTCAGGTCCTCTGGGCACAGCTTGGAAACCATGACCTCCGGTCCGTTCCTCTCCGTTTACCAGGGCGTCCCTGAGGCTCAGGGACGTGAACCCCCTCAGCCAAAGCCACACAGCACATCCGTGACTGCCCTGTTCTGAGCCCTTGCCCAGTTCATCAGCAGCTAAGGCACAGAGAGAGAGGGGGCAGGGTGTGTGATGGCCTCCTCTCCCATCGCGCGGGGACAGGGGCCCCTGGCAGTCACCCCTACCTGGAGCAGTGCGGCTGTCATGTAGAAGACGATGAAGATGAGTGTGAGGGTGGTGTGGCCACCCTGCATACAGCTGATGGTGTAGAGGAACACCAGGTGTCCTGGGACCACGAGGAGGAAGAGGACCCGGGCTGAGCGGGAATTCACATCTGGGTCAGGGGAGAGAGAGGGCGTGAGGAGGAGGAGGAGGGAGAGGAGAGAGTTGTGGCCCCAGAAGGCTTTTCAAAGTCAGAGGGGCCCATCATGCTCCAGGGCAGCTGCAGACAGCTGCCCATCTCTGCATCTCCCCCCCTGTGGCCTCCAGCCCCCAAGATGTCCCAGGAAAGGGTGGCCCTCTGGAGCAGCTGGTGCAGTCCAACGAGAGGAGGGCATTTCCGAACCCAGGCCCGAGCTGTTTCTTAAGTGAAGTTGATGGGTTCTGGGCCCTCCCTCTAGGGTGGGGTGGGGGGTGGGCCCGAGAGCCCGAGGATGGGCATTACCAGGACTGAAGAAGGTGGTGCAGGGGCTGGGACAGCGGCGAGGAGCTTGCTCAGAGTTCTCCCCGGGCATGCCATTCATATGCAGGAAGGTGGAGATGCGGCTGGCCTGGACTGCCACCAGATTGCCCCCAACACCTGCAGAGACACATCAGGGCTGAGCCACCCACGCCAGGGGAGGAAACACACCTCTTGTTCCTCGTCTCTTACTGGAAGCAGCTTTAGCCTCGGGCCTGTCTACAGGAGCCATCTAGGTGGGCATCGCCCACTCCTCAGTCCCCAGAAGAAGCAAGAGACACCAAGGAGGAAGACAAAGACGGCCCCTCTTCCAGGAAGTCCTCCAGGCTCTGACCAGCTTCCCCTCTAAGGGGTGGAGTGTGTGTGGGGGTGTGTGTGCAACAGTCCCATGAGCCCCTGGTTGGCTGGAAGGGGCACAGGCAGATCTCAGCAGTGTCAGCTCGCCTAACTTCTCGGCCAATCTCCTTCCTCATTCTCATCCTCACCCCCACCACCCTGAACCAACCCAGGCACTCCGCGCTCATGCCCCGCTTTCAGGAACTAGCTTCAAGTGCCGGGGTTGAGTTTTGAATACTGGTATCTGGTACCTCTAGTTCCTCTTTTAAGAAGCATGCTGGGAACTCAGTTTGCCCTGTCACCCCGAAACCTGCTGAGCCCCAAGAGGCTGGCGTGGCAGGCTGCCCCACTCAGGCTCTCCTCATGGTGGCACCGGTGGCTCACAGGGTAGGAAGAGAGGTCACAGATCTTGTCCTTGGTCTGGTCATGCTTTTAAGCAGTGATGTACCCTTGCTCGGGGTGATGGACGGGCTCTCTTGGGGCACGAGTGACACTATTCCCTCCCCCAGGCCCTCAGTCCTCGAGGGTTGGGGGGGGGTAGGGCCTGGGATCGCTTATTGGGGCTCTAGCCCTGCTCCCATCCTTGCGAACAATCCCTTCACTAATGCCTGGGACTATCTGAGCTTGATTCTTTGGTCTGCTGGAACTCTATGCAGAACAGGACGCAGAGAAACCAGTGTCACTCGGGGGATGCTGACTCCCAGCAGGCTCACATGTGAGAGCAGCCCTGTGTGCTGTGCATAGCATCTTCAATGGCGGCGTTTCCAGGAGCGGATCTCCAGGGCCTTTGCGCTGTGGCACCTTGGGGGGATCGGCAGGGGGCTGGCCCTCCAACACTTTGGTTAGTCGTTGAGGGTGCTCCCCATTTGCATTACCCAGGGACTCCGGGTACAAGCGTTAACCCCAAACAAGCCCACTGCCATCCAGTTGGCTCCAACACACGGCCACTCTCTCAGGCAGGGGACAAGTGGCCCTGTGGGTTTCTGAGGCTATACTGTACATCTCTACGGGGAGCAGGCAGCCTCATCTTTCTCTTGAGGAGCACCCGGTGAGTTAGAACTGCTGACCTATCCGGAGACAACCCCTCCACCCCCTGCCCCTGCCCCACTCCACGGGCAGCCGAGGGCCAGACCTCACCATTAATCACAGGTGTGAAGACAGCCATCCCTGCAAAGTTGGGGTCGGAGACAGTCTTGTCCAAGATGAGGCCTCCCACACTGCAAAGACACAACAAGCGACAACAGGGGAAGGCCCCGCTCTGGTGGTCAGGAGGACTGGCGGAGGAGGGCGGGTGGCTCTAACCCTCTGACTTGGTCGCATCCCCAGGCCAGCTACTGGAGCCAGTGAGGGCAGCCTGCTGTACCCACCCAAGTTGGCTAAAGGACCCTGGTTGCTTTGCAGGGTCAACACTGATTTCTTCTCCGGGCTCTTCCTTAGGGAACCACCTCTCCGTCTCTATGGTGTAGGGGCTAGATCGCAGGCCGACTCATTTTAAGTCCTGTGACCCCAAGGACACAGTGATTGGCTCATCAGGGATGGCCATGTGACCCAATCACAGCCAGTGAAACTTGACCCTGGGATGTGTGTTCGTTCCATAGCCAGTGCTCTAGTGCTCTCTGCTTGTCCATCAAACCCATCTCAGAGAATGTGTGCCACTTGAAGTAGAAGGGCCTGTGGCTGGGGTGGGGTGCATGTGGGGGCAGGGAGAGGGCTCCCCAGAGCCTACCTGCTGATGGCCATGGCAATGATGACGGGCTCCCAGCCTGAGTACAGCACCTCCCTTGTGGCTGGGCTCCGCCGGGCCAGCACCACCCAGACGGGCAGCAGGGCCACAAAGAAGGCACACACCAGGGGATAGATGTACCGCCAGACCTCTAGGAGAGGCAGAGGCCAGAGAGGAGGTGAGCACTGGGCTCCCTGCTCCCAGCCTCCCTCTGGCGTGCTCAGCTGCACTGGCTGCCCTCAAAGATCGACAGCCACACCACAGCAAATGCTCACAAATCCAGTACTTTGTCTGGTCTTACCCAGCAGGGAGGCAAGGCCTTTCCAATTTACAGAGGAGAAGACTGTGTCTAAACACTGAACCAATATGGGACAGAGACCAGACTCTAGGTCTCTTTCACTTCGATTCCAGAAATCCTGTACCTCCCAATCCCCCTCTTCAGCCTTCGGTTCCTTTCCTCCTCCTCCAAGGACCTGGACCAGGCTGGACTGGACTGTAGACAGGACCAGGCCTTCCTCAGCGCTCTCCCCGCCCCTGTCCCTCGCCCAGCATGAGTGGAGAGTAGGACTAAGCCTCGTCTCTCTAAGGTCAGGTGTGACCGCAAACGACGGCCAGATCAAGTGACGACGGAGACTGAGCGTGGAAGAAACACCATCGATACAATCCCACCTGGCCACAGCATCAGGGGCTCAGCCTCACCCAGCTTCAGGTACAGTCCCCAGCTGATGCCTGAAAGCAGTGCCAAGGTGATGAGGTCACCCAGGCTGGCAGCAATGGGCGTGGCCACGTTGTCTGGGTTGATCCCAATCTTGCGAGAGCCGATGATGACCCCAATCATGATCATACCTGGTGAGGAAGGGGAGAAGGACCAGGCAGGGGGAGAAGAGGATATGGGGGTGGGGTCAACAAACAGCAAGGGGAGGGCATGGCCAGCAAGCTCAGGTATCATTAGTCATTGTAAACTGGACCCACGGTCATCGATTCTGCTTCGTAGCGACCCCATAGTACAGGGGTCCTCAAACGTTTTAAACAGGGGGCCAGCTCACTTTCTCTCAGATTGCTGGAGGGCCGGATTCTACTTTAAAAAAAACTATGAACAAATCCCTATGCACACTGGATGAGTCGGCTGCTAAGCAGGACAGGCAGCGGTGGCAAAAACACCGGGCGGGCCAGATAAGTGTCCTCGGTGGGCCGCATGTGGCCCACGGGCCGTAGTTTGAGGACCCCTGCAGTGTAGTACATAGAGTGGTACTGCTCTCTACAGGGTTTCTCAGGCTGGGAACCCTTATGAAAGCGGACTGCCGCATCTTGCTCCCACGGAGCGGGGGTGGTTTAGAACCACTAACTTTGGGAACAGCAATCCACTGCTTAGACCCCTGTGCCACCAGGGCTCCTCACTGGCCGCACCCCTCCCCCAAATCCAAATCCGCTGCTGTCAGTGCAGATTCCTGACTTGTAGCAGTCCTAAATACTCCAAGGCTACCCATCTTCAGCTTCATCTTTCTCCTGCACAGTGACTGGGGTAGGCTTGAACTACTGACCTTGTGATTAGCAGGCCAAGTGCTTCCCGGACAGCGCTACCAGGGCCCCCTTTGCCTAGTCGTTAAAAAGATGCAGCTGAAAACCACCATGCGTGGCCTGCAGTGACATACTATCTCACCTCTATTAGCATGGCGATGGTAAAAACAAAACAACCAGAAAACACCTGGTGTTGGCGAGGCTGTGGAGAAACTGGAAACCTCACAGGTGGCTGGGGATGTATAGTGGTTCAGCCGCCATGGAAAATGCTAGCAGTTCCTAAACAAGTGGAACCTGTAATTGCCATGTCCAGAGTATATACCTGGAAGAAGTGACGGCAGGAACTCAACCCAAAACCTGCTCACCAGTGTTCACTGCAGCCCCTTCCACAATAGCCAAAGTGTGGAACCCACAAGGGGACCCCAGGAAGCCGTCACAAGAAACCCAGTCTTCATGCATGCCACTGCATGAACGACACCCTTGTGGATGACAAGGAAGGCAAGTCAACAGCAAACGGACAACTGCTGCGTGACCTCGTGTGTAACAAGTCGGTGGTTCTTGACCACCACCTCCCGCTCCATGGGAACAAGACGAGGCAGCCTGCTTCCATACGGGTCTACAGCAAACTCGAGGGCGACGTCAGGGAGGACTGCTATGAGCGCACACACTTTCACTCAGCAAAACCATCAACATAAGAAACGTGTTTCTTGACATATCCTCCATCTAGATGGGCCCCAGTGTTTGCCTCTCTGAGACCCTTCCCCACCTAGTCCTGTGCTCTCTGACCCCGGACATCAGAGATGGAAGTCTGGGCGTCCTCCCCGAGGCACTCATGCACGCTGTGCTCCTTTTCAATGTTCTTTTGGGGAACAAAAAGAGGTCGTAAGGGACAAGATCAGGACCGTAGGGTAGGTGGGGTCAGGCGTCCCAAGAACATGCTCTCAGGGCAGCTCTTGTTACCCTGGAAGATTGAGCAGGTTCACCGTCAAGATAGGAAAGGAAAACACTCTCCTCGGCGCAACTCTCCTGGCCTCCTCCAACTCACTCATGTGGTGGTCTACCTTCTCAATCAGCCCCCACGACCATCCTGGATCACCCTTCCGGAGTCCCAAAACACCAGTTGCTACGGCCTCCTGAGCTGACTGACCTGCCTTGAACTTAAGTAGTCCAGCAGAAGCCACCGTGTTGATTGAACTTTTTTTTTTGGCTTTGAAGGCATCCTAGAATGACTACAATAAGTGTGCTACTGAGAGAACTTGTCTCCAGGTCCCAGTGATGTGTGCACACATGGCTTGCTCGGAATAAACCCAGGCAGGGGCCAGCTGGAATCCCAGCCACGATGCACTCTAACTGGGCACCAGAGGGGACCGGAGGTGGGGAGGAAGTGCGAAAGGGATCGTTGTATGTCAAAGGCAGACTGATCTGGGGGAAGGATCCTGAAGATAGTCGCACGACTGGAAGCCAGGTACTCAGTGTGACTGATCGGTTTGTGCAGAAATCGCTGAGCTGGCCCGTTTGTTACGCTTATTTCCACCACAGTAAAACCACAGCAAGGCGGGGCAGGGAGGAGGCAGGCGGTTCAGTTTGGGCCCAGGGCAGTCCTTCCTCTCCCCGGCTTCTCCACGCTCCCCCTCCTTACCCAGGACCAGGGAGGCGATGAAGGCCGTGGCCACGCTGCTGGCGCAGAGCAGGAAGGCATGAGGGATGCTGAAGTGGCCGTCGGGGATCCAGCCAAAGACCACGGCTGCAATAGACGCCAGGAAGCCCACCACCGTGGCCTGCACCTGAGGAGAGCCCGGGAGCAGTGTGTGTCTCAGCTGAGGCCACCAGGCACTTAGACGGACCTCTCCGCTCCCCCAGCCCCCGCAGGAGGCAGGCAGGGCTGGACTGTCCAGTTCTCACAGGCTGGAATGACGCCTATTTATTTAGTTTCTCCGTAGACATTAGTGTCGGGTAGTGCGCCCTGTAGGAGCTCGGCACGTGCTCCTGGCTGAATGAGTGCCCATCTGGGGCTTGGGGGGACGTTCAACAAAACCGGAGGCTGCAGGCTCAGAGTCCAGGGCTGGGACTCACGGGGGAAGATTCCCAGTCGGGGACTCGTATGGTCTCTTGGGGACATGGTAGAGGATGCTTCAGCACTCCTGAGTCAGCTCCTCCAGCCAGGGTCTGTGGGGACCCCAGCCCTTTTACCACCCAGAGCAGGGCAGTGACATGGGGGATGCTGGCACCCTCCCCAGGTTGGCTGTTTGTCCTGGGCAACCTGGAACCTCCTAGAAGCCAGCTCAGCAGGATGCTGGTGCTTCACTCAGGAACTTTCACAGAGCTGCTGAGCCAAGGGCCCCGAGGCCCAGCCTCTCGGGCCCCGGGTCCCTCACCTCACCTGGATGAGAGCCATGTTCCCGGTGATCATCCGCCACAGCTCCTTGGGTGTGTCCATGTGTCCAATGTTGGCCTGGGGGGACGGAGGCAGGGACTGAAGCTCCACCATTAGGGCCCTCCCTGCCCGGATCAGGAGGTGGCGCACAGAACCCAGGTCTTGGGCTGGGACGTGACCAGGCAAAGGGAAGCAGGGCTGAAGAACATTCCGCTCCTGTAGCTGGGGCCAAGGGCAGAGGGCCCTCACGGCGGGCAGAGGGGGCTGCATTCTGCCTGCTTATCTGGGCAGACCATGCCTGCGGGGGTCAGGATGACCCAGCCCCTGGCCCTGCAGCCAGCTCGCTGTCCTGGGGAAGGGAGGGCCAACTGCAGCGCAGGGCTGAGCTGTGGGGGTGTTTGCGGAGGAGTGAGGTGGCTCGGGCAAGTTGGGGATGAATTCACCGGTGACCATTTTGCTCTGCTTCCTTCTGCAGACTCTTGGTCATGCAAGGACCCCCTGAGCCCCCGGGTTTCCTCACCCCCACCTGCCACCCCACGGCCCCGTGTCTGGTCCAATCTCTGAACGTCATGGCTGCACTACGTGGTGTGGGAGGAGTCACGGACTGGCCTCTCTCCTGCAGAAGAGCGAGCTGCCTTGGGGGGCCGGGCCGCCTGGCTATGCTCCTGCCCAGCTGCAGAGCGGGGCTGGAGATCAGAGGAGGCCTCCACCTGTGTAGGCCGAGGGGCCAGCGTGGTGCCTGCCTGTCAAAGCTGCACAAACAGTCACGAGGCCTGTCTCGAGGCAGGGGGTGGGGCAGGAGGCCAGGGAAGGCTGGGACATCCAGAAACTGAGTCTGGGAACCACTCTGGGTGGGGAGCCCCTGCCCGGGATCTCCCTACACCTGCCCAGCCAGCCCCTCCCTTCCCACCCCAGCCCCACACTCAGGCCCCGGCTGTAGCTGTCCCCAAGTCTGGCTCTCTGCCCCCTCCCTTGGCCAGGACACTCACTGCAGTGGACAGCCTCGATGCCAAGGTCATCTCTAGGTTCCCCTTGAGCCCCAGCAGCGCAGGTACCAGGATGAAGACCTCCGTCACCTTCTGGAAGACTTCCCAGTGCTACAAGGTGAGAACAGAGCCCAGCACTGTCAGTGCCCGGAGGAGCTGGCAGTGAAGCTACAAAGACAGTCTGGGATGAGGGGCTCGGGCAGGAAACGGGCCCAGCGGGGGGCAGGTACACTGTCTGTCTCTCCCCCCAAGAACCCTGGCGCCAAACCAAGCCCACGGGTTTTCCAACCAAACACCCCTGAATGGGGGTGGGTGCAGAAGGGCTGGCTCTCCGTCAGGAGACCCCAAGCCTGGCTCTGCTGCCCCAGAGCTGGGGCGGGGGCACGGGGGTGGGGTGGGGGGTGGTGGGGTGGTGGTGGTGAAGATCTGTGCTGCCAAGCCACCCCAGGCTGGCTCATGCCCCGACTCCATGGCGGCCCCCACCCCTTCAGATTGCAGGCCGCAACCCCTTTCACACGGAGTCCAGTGTCTCCGCAGCCTCAGCCTCGGTGGTGTTGTCTCAGCTGCTGAGCATGCGGCTCTGCGGGGCCAGGCGCTGAGAGCCTTTGGTTTCCATCTCCAAGGGCTTTGGGCCCTAGCCCCTCCCCCTCCCCCAACCAGGCTCTGGTGACAACGGGGCGCACGCCCCTGAAGGCTGTTTGGTAGGAGGCCTCGCCATCCCTGTCGCACCCCTTCCCCAACGCCTCAGCTGGGTGAAGCAAGTGCGTCGTCCTTCCCTGAGGAAGGAGCACTGGATCGGGTGTCAGGAGACGCAGGTTCTAGCCCCGAAGGACCATCAAGCCTGCCCCTCCTGCCTGCCTCTTCGGCTGACATCTACCAAGTAGGGACTCTGGGCTCAGTCATCATGCTTGGTCAAGCAGGGGGTCACGGAGAAAGGGGAAGAGCTGCAGGGAGACAGACAGACACAGGGGCTGCAACCATGGGATGGAACACAACAAGAGTTGTGCGGCAGGGGCAGGACCCAGCAGTGCTCCCCTCTGTTGTAGAGGGTCCCTAGGGGTCAAGGCTGACCCAACAGCGCCTACCAGCAAACACAGCCATGCATGCTGGAGCCCCTGGGTGGGCCAGATGATGAAAGCGCTTAGGTGCCAATGACAGGCTGGTGGTCTAGTCCACTCCAAGACCAGCCTTGGAGGAGTCTTGGTGATCTACTCCTGCAGAATCCGCCCGGTGTCACTGTCACGTACTTGAGGTCCATGGGAGTCGGAGTCGACTCTGTGGTCATGGGTAAGCGTGCTAGGCCGATGACGGTACACGACGGCGGTACATGTGTTTCTCATGGGACCTTCTCCGCAGCCTTGTGAGTGAGGGGCTGCCATTGAACCCCTTCTCTGGAAGCAGGGTTCCAGAAAAATACACCACCTAGTCTAGGAGCAGGGGCTGATGGTTTAGAAATGCACTGTCGTGGAAGCTGACACTTAGGGTTTGCAGGAAAGAGGCTGGCGTGGCATCACCCTCGGCTCAGGGCGACGCCAAGCCTCTCTCTTGTTTGCTTTCAGAAATGAGAGGCCTCCACATTTGGGGAGGGAGAAAGGTAACGGCAGGGCAGAGGTGGTAAGGTTGGTCCCAGAACCCTGGTCTAGGACAAAGCTTCTTAAGCTGAGGGTAATGACCCCATGCGGGCCGGGGACTGCAGGTGGGGGCACAGAGATGAAGGTGGAGTGGTGAGATGTTTGGCGACAGTGCCAGGTTCTGAACCCACAACGACCACCAAGTAATTCAGAATCAAATCACAAGGAACCCCGGGTTCGCTTGCCTGCGCTCCCCATTTCTCCCGGGTGAAAGGGGTCGAGAGTGGATGACGTTTCAGTGGCCCTGGGGAGGCTAAGTGCTGTCATGTGCAGGGGACACTGGACCGAGAGACTTAAGGTTTGCACGAGAGGCATGGTGAGGGCCTCAAGCTCCTCCCCTGCGGGCCTCCCCACGTAGACCAGCTGTGGGCCAACCGGCGCTTCACAGGGGTCTCAGTCTCCTGACTGTGAGGTGGACAATTCAGGGGCCAGATCAGGGAGTCTTGGAGGCCATTCTAGCACTGACGCTAGCATTTAAGATAAGCAAGACTGGAGAGGAAGCCAGGCTCAGGATGGGGGACCAGGGGTGTCTGGACACTGAAGGGTAGCAGTCAACTGTCAAGCAAGCCAACAAGTTATTGAGTCAGAATCAACTCGTGGGGCCCCCCCACCCCCGTGTATGGGAGTCGATTGTGCTCCCGAGGGTCCTGAGGGGCTGGGTTTTCATAAGCAGATCACCAGGCCTTCCATCGGAGACAGCTTTGGGTAAGATGCAAACCTCCAGCGTTCCCAGGAGCAGCTGAGCACCACCTAGGGACTCAGGCTGTGAGGCAGGGGTGGCCTTTTTCCTGGGTTTCTAGATTTCTCTTTGTGTGGGGAGGCACTTCCCTAGGGGGACTTTGGGGAAGGGCTAGCATGCCCCATTCTCTGAGCTCCTGGTCTGCTCCCTTGCAGGTGGAGGGCATAGAAGTCTCTTGCGGTAGAGGGGGGTCCCTCTCTGAGGACCAAGGAGGGGAGAGACCCCTGCACCCTCTCCCCCATCGCAGCACAGTGGCTAACCACTCACGGCACCTACAGAAGACCCAATCTCTTCAATGCCCTGAAAGGACTGTGAATCCTTACTTACCCAGAAGGTCCCCCCTTCCCAGAGAGAAGACAGCCCCTGTGAGGCAAGGGGTGGGGGAGCCTCCCCATCGGTCTTGGGGGGAACTCGGGGCCGTTCCTCTTGGCTGTGGCTGGCGCACGCTGCCAGGGCCCCAGCTCCAGAGGGGAGAAGCAGCCCCCTGCCTCGACCAGGAGGGCGCTGATTGTGGACCTTCGAAGGCCCTCTCTGAGCATCGCCTCACCACACGCCACGGCCCTGCTTGCTCCTAAGCTGCCAGGGGAGCGGGGAGCAGAGGTTCCAGGCAGGGTTTGCACCAACACTGCAAGAAATGAAGAGAGCCGGAACGGCAACACTCCAGGCCCAGGCCAGAGAGGTTTTCTGAATTTCTTGCCATGACTGCTGTTATGGTTGGTATCAGATGCCACCCAGCTGGCTCCGACTCACAGGGAGGGACCCTCATCGTACAACAGAAGGACACACTGCCCTGGTCTGTGCCACCCTCACCATCGATCGCTGCTGTGCTGGGACCCTCCGCTGCAGCCACTGGGCCTATCGCAGCAATGCACATATGTATCGAAATGTCGCAAGTTCGGCCAAGTTCTTCTGGCCGCTACTATACGTCACAACCAAACCCACTGCTCCGAGTGGCAATGGCCCTGGAGAACGGAGCCTGGGCTGCAGCCGTTGGGTGCTGTGGAGCCGGTTCCCACTCAGAGTGACCCTACGGACAATGGATCAAAGCACCGCCCGGTCCTGCCCCTCCTCACGCGTGTTCTTCTAGCTGAGCTTATTGTTGCAAGTCCCTGCGTCGATCCATTCTGTCAAGAGCCTTCTTACTTTCCACGGCCCGCTACTTTCTCCCCGAGCACGGTGTCCTTGTCCAGCCAGCGCCCCCAGGCCTCCACACAATCTCTCTTTCCAACTCCACGAGGCCTGAGAAGGTCTGGGGTGTTTGTAGGGATCAGCTCAGTGACACACAGGCCAGGGGAGAGAAGCAGCCCCGGTGAAGAGCCCTCTACCCCAAAGTCTTCACAACCCTCATAGAACAAAGCCCCCAACCGCAAACCCCGTCCCGTCCCAGGCTAGTTGGAACTGGGGTTCGAGCAGCTTATTCTCCCCACCAGGCGGTTCCACTCACAAGACCTTCTCCAAGCTGTGGCTCAGGCAGGGTGAACACACACACACACACACACACACACACACACACACACACACA